TTGCCCGTCTGTGGTGCTTCTTGTTTCGGCCATCTTTAGTGTGGGACTGGGATGGTGTGAGGGTCGAGTGTGTAGAGTCTAGAGATGTCTAGAGTCTCCGGGGGCTGAGGCTTTGGCTTTGGCAGTGGCAGCGGGTGCCGCCCGGAACGAGCCTGAGGCTGAGGAGGCCTACGCCAGGGCCGGGCACGCCACCTCGGAGGCTGCGACTAGCATCCGCACGGTGAGGGCGCTGGGGGCAGAGGAGCGCACTCTGGAGATCATCGACGCCTCCCTGGACAGGCTCACCGAGCTGAATGCTGCGAAGAGTTGGAAGCTGGGCCTTTCCCTGGCTCTGAACATCAGCCTCTTTCCCATCATCTTCCTGGTGGGCTTCTGGATGAGCGCCGTGAGCATCCAGTCTTGGGGTTTCGATGCTGGCGATGTGCTTTTGACCCTCTTCTGCGTGGTCTTCGGGGTGATGTCCGTCAGCTCCATCGTCCAGTACATACCTGATTCCGCCTCCGGCTACCTTGCAGCAGCGGAGGTCTTCCGCCTCGTGGACCAGGTCTCCAAGATCGATGCCACGCAACCCTTGGGCCGCGTGCAAAGCATCGGGGACGGCTCGATCCAGTTTCAGGAGGTGCACTTCTGGTATCCCCACCGCCCCGAGGCGGGCGGGACTCCTAGCTAGGGTCGGGTGCGGAGGCAAACAAAGTGGTAGAGAGTGAAGCTTATAGTTATAGGAGGTTATAGGTGAAATGGATACGCGAGTTCTCTGCCAGGTCCGGGTGCTGAAGAAGCTCAGCCTGACCATCGAGAAAGGTCAGTCGGTGGCTCTGGTCGGCTTCTCGGGCAGCGGCAAGTCCACGGTGATCCAGCTCCTCCAGCGCTTCTACGATCCGCAGTGCGGCTCCATCCGTGTCGGTGGCGTGGACTTGACGGATTTGAACGTGGCCTGGTGGCGCAGTCAGCTGGGAGTCGTGGGCCAGGAGCCCGTCCTTTTCGACATGACCCTCGAAGAAAACGTGAAGTATGGCTACCCGGAGGCGACAGAAGCCCAGGTGCACGAAGCAGCGAAGGCGGCCAACATGGACTTCGTCTTTGCGGACAGCAGTGGCTATGTGTTGTCGGGCGTGAACACTGGTGCAGTGAGGTGGACGGACCGAGTCGGACTCCGTGGGGAGAAGCTATCAGGCGGACAGAAGCAGCGCGTGGCCATCGCCCGGGCGCTATTGCGGGAGCCCCAGTTCATGCTCCTGGACGAGGCCATGTCGGCCCTCGACTCCGTGTCAGAGAAGTTGGTGCAGCAGGCGATGCAGGAGACAAGGATGGGCAAGACAACCATCACCGTGGCCCATCGTCTCTCCACAATCCAAAACTCGGACAAGATTTTCGTGCTCTCGGACGGACGCCTAGTCGAGTCCGGCACCTACGACGAGCTCATCAGCTTGCGCGGCAACTTCGCCGCCCTTGCAGCTGGAAGCCTGTGATACCTGTGACAGCGATTGCCATTTCGAGGACAGTTTAGAAATTTTCTTGCCAAGCAAAGCATCTGGCGTTGCGCAGCCAACAGCGAAAGGCAAGGCGGCAAGGCCCGTTCTGCCAGGTGTTCGATTGTATCAACTTGCGAGGCCCCATGTGTCTTGCCCCAGCGTCCCACCTTGCTGCCTCTACAGGAGGAGCAGCGGGGGTGGGATAGGGCCAGCAGGCCCTTCATTGTGCGTAGTTGGGCTTGGAGCAGGCTTGGACGAGTCATTTTCACCAGAAACAAGCCTCAGGAGATGTTTAAAGTTATGAGCGTAATGGATTCTGCATTCTGATGTCATGAGGCGACTTTTGACAAAGCTTGGTATTCAGCCCTTGCACGTTCCCTTGGTCGACCGACCCATCGAATTCTTTACAACAGCGGACGGTTGGGAGAGGGCTTCTGCCGGAGGAAAGCATCGGCCAACCTTCGTCCGCGAAACTGGCACATACTTGTATGTGCACAGCTCAGATTGGTTCCAGAATATGGATTTCCAACTCATGTGTCTTTGCAACAATTTGTAATGCAGAATCCAGGCCACCAGAACCCCACATGTAGGGGCTGTTCCAGATTGTGGTCCCCGTTGAAATAGCCATGACAGTCGTAATCTGTGAGCACCAAGATGAGGATCTCAGTGGGACCCGAAGGGAGAACGGCAGGTGGACATGCAGACTGGCGTATGCTAGAGCCTACGTCTCGCGGTGCCAGGCTACTGAGCTTTTGAGCATCTTAGCTCGAGCGACAGAAACTGTCGGTTTGACACCTCAGATATCTGGGCTGCAAGAAATGGTGTTGAGCTCGAACGCATGATGATGAGGATTGATGGCGGGTGGTGCTTTTCTTCATACTCTTAGCTATGATGGACCTTGATGTTAGTTTCTTTTGTTCCCGGCATTGTGGTTTGTTTGGCTTCCCGGACACCCCATTCCTTGAATCGAGGGGCCGGTCCACAGGCTGCATGGCCAGAAGAGAGGTAGGCCGGCTCTTCATGTGCTGCATAGCCCCCCCCCGCCCACGGCACGTGTAGGCTTTGTTGTGCTTTTGACTTCGAGGACCTCTGAGGCCCCGCAGCTCTACGATTCCAGACATTCGTTCAGGGCGATGGGAGGCCTAGTGGGCCTAGCGTCCTGGCAGGAGGTGGCTTTGTCACTTTGTCCGTTCTTGTACTGGAAGAAGGCGAAGAAACAGGGCGACGTTTGTCATTGTTACTGATGTTACTGTTCAATCGGAAAATTGAGCTTGCAACGCGAGGCTTGATGATCACGGGGTAGTGCGTGACAAAGGTTTTAAGCTCGAAACTCCGAGCTCCGCATGGCAAAGGCGCCTGTGACCCGGGAGCCGTTTCTGCTTACTGTCCCAAGGGTGCGGACCAGTCTGCAACGCAAGTCTGGAAAACTTCGGCTGGCATATTCGTAAAAAAACGCATGCAGCCGCCATTAGCCAACCCTCGTACGCCACGAGGGTCCCGTTGCCAAGCGCGCAGTCCCAGACTCAAAGCGTGACAGATACTTGACAGCATTTCTTGGTAGCATGAATCCAGCAGCCCGTCACAGTCTGAGGAGGCGCTTGTGGGACTCCTGGGGTACAGAATTTCTCTTCGAAGGACAGTAAGAAAGAATGAAGATAAGTATTCTGTGACAACCACAGCATCGTCGTGGCTTGTTTTTTGTGTTTGCGACGAGAACTAGTACAACCACCAGAAGAAGACTAGCAGGTGACTGCGTGGCAGCAAAAATCGGCTGCTTGCATGACCAGTCAGTGTAACGAGGTGAATCCAATCATGAACGTAGCAGGACACAGCAGAGCTGGTAGTACCGACAGCAAAGTTGTTGCCAGGGAGTGCCGTCGTAGTAGGTCGAGACTTGCAGGTCACCGACATGCCGAAGACTCCTCCATGTACCCGAAACCGCACGCACAATATATTCAAGAGATCTCCGCCTTCAGGAAACAGACAAATCAAACCCTGAAGCTACATAGTAGCGAAACAGATCGTTCTAGAAGTGCGACAAATGTTCGAGTTGTGTCCACAGGGCTTCACAGTTCATAGAGGGGGGAAGTGTCCTCTTACAGTGGGGCCTCGAGACGGTGTTTGACGGTATGTCTGCGATGAGCGCCCAGAGATTCCAAGGTTCTGGCACCCCAAGCTCGATCTAAGTATCTTGCGCAGCCAGGGCCATGTGGCGGTTTCTTCTGCTTCTCGTGCCGCTCGGTTCTGCAGCCGGGTCCCCAGGAACTTCCGGGCTGATCTCGATCTGGGGCTTTCCCTGCTACAGAGTTTTCTGGGCTTTCGGGAACAGAACAAGGCATCTAGTTTCGCTCAAGCATGACTGTTCATCACCGTTCACAATCATAACAGGGATATGGACACCGTGGGGTTGAGATTTGGGGTTTGGTGTCGGCATTTGATACGCGGCATTTTGTCTCCGGATTCGAGAATACTGTTGTTATTTCGCTTCGGGGCACGTGCTTCTTGGCGAGTTTTAGTGTCTGATGTTGACACACCGGCACAAGCAAAACTTGTGTTGCTACTTGATACTTTTCAGCGATAGTGATATATCGGTGATCCCGTCTTTGATCTGCTGTGTCACCTTCCAAGACCTTCTCAGGGGCAGAAGATTCCCATTTGCATAATTTCTGATGTCATGCCGGATGCGCTTTTGTTGGTATTGGCTTCCGCTCTGCAGGCTGCGAAAGGCTCCTCGTCGCCGCTCATGCAGGTGAGCCTGGGAGTGTGATAAAACATTGGACTGTGAAGCAATCATCAATGTACGTATTTATTTGTGTCGTCGCTGCAGCAATAGCAGCAGCAACTTCAGAGTAGGAGCAATGAATAAAAGACGGATAACGCCTAATTTGCCGGTCCTGTGAGACGAAACAGCTTCGAGTCCAACTCAGAGTCATCTTCCGTAAGGAAGTCTTTTGTGGTGGCCATCAAGATGTGAGACCTCACCAGGAATGTGAGGACCCGGAAGATCGACCTCGACCCAGAAGCCCGAGAAATGAGCCAAATACTGGAGCGGTATGAAGTTGTAGCTTCCCCAGGAAAGTCATGGATCTTTTGCCACAGGCGCTAGATGCGACACTGGTGGAAGCGGAAGCCGTGTCCCCAAGAACCGTGTTTCGGGCTTCGGGGATGCTGCGGGTTGTAAAGTTGAGGGTTTGCTTGAGGGTTTTTTGAGGATCTTGCAGGACGCTGCAACGGAGTGGATCAAGGGGAGCAGGTCCTGGGCCCGACTGTGGGGGCCATGGCGATGGCCTGTTCGGTTTGCTCGAGTTACCACTCAACAGATCTGCAAACCTAGCCATAGGTCTCACAACCATCAGAAGCTCTCAAACAGCCACAACATTCCCATGAATACCACGAGCTTAAGAACCATCTTTTTCATGATCATGAAGAGCCGCGAGCATTTCTCAAGTCCCTGATCCTGCATAGGGCGGCTTTTTCACTGTATCTGCAAAAGTCTGAGCCCAGGCGCGGAAAGTGCTGGAGCCGCACATGGCTGCGATCAAATCGCTGGAGACGGAGGCGCCGGGTGAGCGGGGCGGATGGCTGTAATCGATTCTGATCGCAGCGATTTCTTTTTGCAACTCATCTCTTCGAGTTCGAGGCGACCTTATCACAATCAGCATCCTTCATAAGAACAGACACTTCTCAAGAACCGCGAGTTGCGCAGAGCCCCGATTTTGTGCGAGGACAGAGTATCAGTGGATCTACCTGGCAACGTTTGGTGGGGTCTGGTGAGCTTTCTCGAGGGGCTGTTTCTGAAGGGAAACATACAGGGATCGATGCCAGTGTGCTGAGCGCAACATGTCAGTTCGTTGAGCGGACCATCCATAGTGCCCGAGCTTCAACCCTCAAACTCCGTACAAGCAGAGTGCGAACAAGCGAACCGTCAAGCCACAGTACCTCCTGTGCTGAGGTCATCGAGCTGGTTGTGATGAGGCAGTGGCCCGGAGCTCCAGCTTTCCAAAGTGTGTCAAAGTTCTTTGTTTGAGCATGGTAGGGTTCAGGATCTCGGGGTTTCCGGATCTCTTGGTTTGGGTTTGGGTTCGGGTGCAGAGTTGGTTGACTGTCAAGGGCTAAGGCTTTAAGGGCATTGGGCTGTGAGGTTGGGCAGGTTCTGTTCTGTGCTTGCACATTTTTCAAAAGGCTACGTGGCTTGGGGGCAGACAGTATCGCGGGTTCCGTGTGTCCTCCAAGAGGATTTTATCTCAACCGCTTCCGGCTTATGAGCGATGTCTGAAGGTCCTGAAGTCTTAACATCTTCAGTCAAGTCAGGACGATTCACAACTGACTGATACCGTAGCCTGACTTGCCACATTCATGGTTATTCACAGTATCTCCTCCTTTGACTCGTTGCTCGTGCTTTAACTCCGAGGTGGTCCCTGGCGCGGGAGCTGGTGGCCAAGTCCCACGAGCAGAAGGCCAGATCACACACACAGCTTCGTTGTATTTTTTGCGCCACCGAAGACTACCTCACTCCTTGAATGCCAGAAGCCTACGGCCTGCTTGCGGCCCTGGGGCCATTGGGTATGCAAAGGATCCCCGCTCTGTCGATCCTTCAAAGATCTTGGGTAGCTCCTTACCGCTGGAAGCTCACATCCAAGGTTTGAGTTCTGGGGAATCGGCCAGGTGGACTTGTCCTTCTCCGTGCGGAAGGCTGTGCGGAGTCTCAAGGACCTCTCCCGAGACTTCATTCGAGCTTGGGGTCCGGGAAGGAGGCTGGATGCTCCCGGCCATGAGCCTTGAAGAGCTGCCCGAAACCTGAGAAGCGCCGGGGTGCGGAGTCATAGTCTTTCGGACTGTCCTTTTTTGTGGATGTGGCAACTCGAACTCTTCAGGACGAGGCTGATGAGCTTCTCCTGACGCTAGATCCGAAGTACGGGCAAGTGCAGCAGGTGCAAGACCCTCCTGGAACCCATGCACTCATAAAGGGCTTCGGGGAAAGGATGGTTCAGGACTCTTTTTTTTGTTTTGTTATTTTGCGGGTGGTAGAGGGTTTGGGTGGCTCCGGGGATGTTGGGTTGAGATTTCAACAGGTTTGCCAGATCCTGAGGTCAGGAAGCGTCTAGCTTCGCTCATCATCTCGTAGAAACTATCATGAGAGGTTCGAAGCCGCAAAGGTCCTCAACCCTGAACACAACTCGCACTGACACACGGCTGAGGATCAGGAGCCTTGCGTATTCAGCTCAAATCATAAAGCCAAGGAGTATTAAGAATATGATGCATCCCCGCAGTTCCTGTTTAACCTTAAATCCCTTTTACTCCTCAACGCATTCGGCAAGGTCTCTCCCTCCTTCCAGTGGGCACAGAATGACACCGCGATCTTCCTGTCTGTAAAGCCCGGGCACCAAGGAAGGATGGGTTTCGGGGGTTTCAGGGTTTCGGGCTTGCATGATTCCGCAGTCAAATCTCAGGATCTGGTAGCCCCCGACGTAGTTTTTCTTTGGGACGATCAGTGCTCGCTGTGAGGCTTACGGGTAAACGTGAACGCCTCCCTGGCAGGTACACCGTACGCTGGAATGCGCCAGGCGCACTGGAGGCGATGCAGAGTCAAGCTTCTTCTTACAAGGTTTGTTTTTGTCGGCTCAGCGGGTCACTTCGCCGCATAAACCTTCAAAGCGCCAAGCTCAATTGACACCTAGGACCTAACTGTGCAAACCTGAATCCCACCTGCTGCTAAATCGCCTAAATCGCTGCAGCTTGTGCCTTTGCCTGATTTTTATGTCCGAAGGAGCACTTTTGCGATTGTTTTGATGCTTCGGTTGATCATGAGCCCTTTTACTTCCCCTTGCCACCTTGTTCCTTGTTCCGGCCACGGTCCTTGGGTTCGGCGGCCAAAACGGGGACAACTCGCCAGGATCCCCAAGACTTCAACCACTCCCAAGCTGCATCAGGTCACTGACCCGTCGGTGAACATGACGGGAAATGTTTTCAACTTCTCCGGCCTGGGAAAGCATTCCAACAACAAGTGCGCGCTGAGGTGGTGGTTGAGGTTGTGGTCGGATCATGCTAGTGACTAGTAGTGATTGTCATGGTGACTACAGTGTGACGGCGCGGGTGGTGGTGGTTGTTGAGCTTTTGCCACAAGAAAGTCTGTTGTCATTGTCCTGGGTAATGCCTATGTAGCCCTAACAGCTACCGTGAAGGAAAAGCGGTCAACGTGATGAACTGCAGGTACAGGTATTTCCTTTCCGTCAACCTTTTCGACAACATTGATGCCGGGACCTTGTATTTCTCCAACCCCTAAGCCCCTACAACCTCAAGCGCAAACCATGAACCCTCAAGAGAGGTCCTTTCACAGATGCCGGTTGAGGGGATTACAGCCCGTGTTGAATGACAGCCTAAGCTTCATCGGTCTCAGTGTCTACGCTTTAGATTCTTTAGATGTGTGGGTATCGAAGCCGTGCATCCATCCAGCTGTGAATGCGCGAAAGCTTCTGAGCCTAGAGTCTCAAACGCACCCGTCAAACCCAAGACTCAGCCTAAATTCCTTAATCGCTGAACCCTGAACATCCTAGACCCCTGAGGTCCTACACCCTAGGCAGCACACCCCGCAAACTGAAAAAGGAACCCAACGTTTACAAGACATTCTTTGCCTGTCAGCTCCAGGCGCAGCTCTCTTCCTGGAGTGCGGCCTCAGCCAGGGGCTCGGATTGTTGTGGCATCTTGGGGCTTTGGACGCGGCTTCTAGTTTTGCCGTCGTACGGTATGGAACTGCGCACATGTGAGTATATATATATATATATATGTATATATATATATATATACACATACATATAGACACACACTAAATACGCAAATGCATGCATGCATATTTGTATACATATATGTATATATACCCACACTCATACATACATATCTGAACATATATTCACATATCACATGATATATATATATATATATATACTCGCATGTCATTATGTATGTATACATATATATATATGTGTGTTGCATATGTGTAGCATGTATAGACATCTTTTGAAGTGTCCGAAGGCTTTTCCGTACTTATGCGTTCAAGGTTTCAAGAAATTGGTTTCTGCAGGCCGTGAATAAGTTCGCGGCTCTGTTGTTGAAACGATTGTAGCGGTGCATGATAATCTTGGTTCTGTTTGTAGAGAATGCTCTCGTACACCATAGTATACAACTCAGAGAAGGTGGTTTGTCAGAAGTTCGAGTGCCAACATGTTTTCACGAGTTTCTACATCTCCTATACTCTCAGCGCTATAGGCGCGAAGTCCTCACCACCATATATCCTGAGCGACTACACGGGACCACACGGAACTTACTTGTATCGCTTTAAACCCGAGATCAGGTCGGCAAGCTCAGCGTCACCCTGAGGAAGCGGTGGCCGAGGCCCTTTCAACCGATGTCGTCCTAGAGAAGCAATGCTCCCAAATCTTGCTTCGCATGTGATCCAAATCCCAGCCATTTGGGCACCTCGAGTCTTTCCTGATGTGTGCCTTACGATGATCGCTTCTTTTTCTCCTGTCTGAAGCAGTCTCTTTCGTCATTGTGGAAAGGGGCGCGGGCATTTGGTGTCTTCGGGTCGGCTTTGTTACCATTCGTGCTGACATGAGTTTAATATTCCTGTCTTGGCTATGTCAGTACTATGCTAGAGTTGCGTAGCACTTCTGTTGTTTTTTGGGCAAGTGCCTTATGTATAGATAGCTTTCCTGTCGCACGAAGAGACGATTGTGAACCAGTCAGCGATTTAACATCATTCGGGAGCCGAGTTTAAGATTGAAGATCCAGGCAACAGATTCTGGTGCACGTTCGATTTTGAATCTTGGACCCGCCCTCCGTTTGAAATCAAGTGCACCTAGCGAGACCGTTTAAACCTCTTACAAAAGGTCATGGGGCCATGGAACGGCTGCATGCCACCGTACGAAATCCTATCAGAATAATGCTAACATGTAAGTGCATATCTGTATACACGGGCAAGGTAGCCCGCTTTACCTCGCAAAGATCCACTTGATTGCTCTTCCATTCGGTTTCTTCTTTCCAGTTCGTTCTGCGCCGGTTTCTGAGCGGCTTAACGGGGTTTGAGGGATGCATGTGTAGGTTGATAAGTAAGTAGGCAGAGCTGTAAATAAGTAATAGATTTAATAGAGCTGGTACTACCACACAATCGCTCCAGTTGTGTACATTTGCAGGTCTTAACCTTGTTACTGCAGTTTTGATGATACTGTCGTTATTCCTATACTCTCGGCCTCCATGTTTTTCAGTAGTGGGCCAAAGCCCTCAACTCCAAAGGTTTGATTAGTCGTTGCTTTGGCAGGAAGTGGCCACGACTTTTAGTAGACAAGAAGACAAAGATCGGCAACATGCATCTCTGGATGGAGATGCAGGAGCTCGGGGACTGTCTGTACCCAGAAACGGCATGCCTGGAGGGCCTGATAGAAAAGGTGAGCGGGCTGAGTCGCGGTTTCTGGCGAATGGGCCACTTGCAGCTTCACTGATGCACGAGCGTGTTAGTCCCATTGATTCTCTATGGTCCGACACATCCACAGTCTACAACACCCTCCAGAATCTAGGCCAGACGCTCGAAATTGAAAGGATACCGTATGCTGCCATTTGTCAATCCGACAACTGAAGACTACTAGGGACGATTCCCTCACCCAAAACTCTTAAGCGAGAGAGCACATTTTTCATTCGCAGCGTCGGGTCCAGGGCGGACGCTCACCTAGCACATGAGTTCAAAAGGTGAAACAGGAGGCAGCTCAAGGCGAAGAAATGCGGGATGCCTGTACCGCCAAACCGCAATCTTCCATCCAAGAGGCTGCAGGGCCCAGTGCCGCCTTAATGCCGTAACAGGAAATGACCAACCGCTTCGGCCACTATCCGGCAAGCACCTTCCATCCAGGTAGCAAAGGCGACCGCTTCCCTAACGGAAGGGCAGGTTGCTGACTCGGGGAACCAAATCACAGGAGGTGGACCCGGCGAGAAAGCACAAAAGCACAGGCATAATCTTTGACTCCTAGACTGTTTGAACTTCCACTGGTAGCTTTCTCAATGTTTTCGCTGTCCCTAGTCTTGCTGAGGTCTTGATTGGCAGGGTCGTAAATCTTGCTGTGATGAGGAGAAGCTGGACTCCAGCCTTTCCGGCCTCAGCTCTGTGACCAACTCACCGGTGTCCTGCGGCCAGATGGGGAAGCTGTGCGGGGCTCAGAATATCGTGGCAGTGGGGAGAGGCACCCCACTTACAGGCAGTGAGCGTGCAACTCAGCAAGCTCGAAAATAATGCTTGCTGCAGCTCGCTTTCTATTAGCGTCCAGTTGGAGCAGCAGGGCATTTATCATTTCTGGGTGTAGGCTACCGGGGCAAACTGTTACCCGTTAGCTGCTCCTTGGGTGAGGAAAGAAGCAGTAAGGTGACTGGCATCATGCGATGTCATTCTGATCCGATCTGCTGCGTAGCTTCTCTTTGTGCTGTGGCGTATGCACGATTGACCGCCGAAGGCCTAATCTCCCATGCGTCGCGATTGGGGATCGTGCAAAGGTACTGCATGGCAACAGACACCTGCAAGAAGTGGCAGCCTCAGCGATACAGTGCCGGTTGCATGGCCATTGCGATTTTCCCGAAACTCAGAACTAGAACGAATTTATCGATCAGCTGCATTACTCAGTCTTCAATGTATTTCGTGCGACCGGAGATTAGTTGACGGCGATGCAGGAGTAGACAGAGCTATGATCCTGACCGTGATTGTTCTGCCTGGTTGAACTATGCTAAGTCGTTTCGAGCTTTTACTGGTGTTGAGAGTGTTGGACACGGTTTTGAGAATCTGTGGTTGTGTGCACAGTGTAAAGCTTGCCGTTGCTTTGGCGCCTTGTCGGGAGATGATCTGTGGATATTGTAATCTTGGAATGTCCTGGATCCCGAATGCTAAATCTGAGGAGACTTCAAGCAGCAACCCTTCATGGACCGTTGTAACTACGATGATGATAATTATATGTATTGTGATGTTGTCTACCGACAAATATCTCACAGTGCAGTTCTACTATTGCTGTTGCCATTGCCACTCCGTTTCTTTCCCGCTATTGGCGAACAGCCGTCATTGTCGACCTTGCGATTTTACGATTACTGCTCCTAGACTTTTTGCTTCATTTTCTTTTAGGTTTGAACGTTGTTTGGGTTTTCTCTCAGTGTAGGTGCCGCCGTCTCCTTTTTGATTGGATGTACTCTGCCCTAGGCTTTCCTACTTGGTCAGGTCAGATGCCTGCACCCAGTGCCCTGGAAAGGCAGAGCCCGATGAGAAGGCACACCGGGGAGCCTGTCATGATGCTGCTGAATTAATCTTGGGTGAGGGTGCAAGAACTGTACTCGCACATTTCACTACAATCAAGATTCATTTGATCCTCTTGATCTTATACGCACTAGACCAAATTCATGCGGATCAACTTGTGAGTTTTGACCCGATAAAGCTAAGTTGCTGCTGATGACCAGGCCAACCTGTGCGCCGGTAAGCCCACCGAGAAGGCTGGGGAGGAGGTAGAGAGAGCGGGAGCAAACCACTTTTCATGACGTTTAATGATGGATGCACTAGGATGCAATGTCGCATGTAGCAGGAACAGGTAGTTGTTAACAACTTAGCTATGCGACGGCTTGATTGTCTCTCCAACGGCTCGTCTCCCCTTGTCGAGCACGCTGCAGACAAACTTACAACTGTGTGCACACAGACGTTTGCATCTCCGTTCCGTGCACGCTGAAAGCAGAGCTGTTTGTATGACTCGTCTTGCTGCATACACTCTGCGCAGAGGCAGACGTCTTTATGACGAAGAGATGGGAGAGAACAGCGGGCCTTCATGTAGCCGACGTAGAAGGATTCTTGATTGGATCCCTGAACACAGATGAAGAAAGCCCCAACCTGGCGCGACCTGGGACTGCACCCTTCGCAAAGGCATCCCTTAGCTTCCAGGACCCGTGCGAGGGACGCGAGATGTTATTGTCTTGCCTGGAGCTTGACGACGGCAGCGTTGTGTCGGTGAGTTTCTTTACCTTCGAACGGAATCTGCTTTGAAGCTGCTGCCCTGGGAGCTCAACCCAGTGCAACGGTTGACCATAGGTTGACCGTAGGACGCCGACATGGATGAAAACCAGCTCAGTGGCGAGGTGAAGATCCACAAGGCTGATCTGGGATGTGGCTTGGGGTGTCTGTAGGGTTCAGGTGTGCAGGGTTGAGGGTTTAGAGGTCCATGCAACGCACCGAGAGTTCCAAACCGCCGCGGCAGGCCCGGAATGACTTCGACGTCGACACCTATGCCGTGTTCTGGGGCAAGGCAGCCGGTGCACTGCGGTAGAAGAGGTGGGTGTCAGGGACTTGGGATTTCCTCTTCAAGGCTAGGGCTATTTAGACACGTCGAAAATGCTGGTGCTGATGCTGTTGCTGAGGATGATGATCGTGATGATGACGGTGATCATGTCGGTAATGATGTTGGGATGATGATCTACAATCCAAATGTGATTTTTAATGGTGATGATGATTCTGAAAGATGTTGCTATGAAGCGTTGATGTTGAATGTAGGGTGGTAGTGCTGTGTGATTGCAAGATGCTCTGTGGACATTCGGTGGACCTTCGGCAGGCTTACATCCAAGAACTGGTTGAGTTACACACCACCCTGAAGTCCCTCGATAGGGAGTTTCCAAGACAGGGGATCCCTTAACCTGAACCTGTGACGAATGGGACACCTATGGCTAAGGACCTCTTCTAGGCATCTTTCATGTTTTATGAGCAACGGCCAAACTGGTAGATGGAATTGCGACAATCATCAGATCCGACCATTGATACTACCGATACACTTCTTCACAAAGCTATGGAGCGTGTGGTGGACGGCCTGAACGTCGCCTGGTTCGGCGCGGCGGCCGGCACCTTCGTCCTGGGTGCCCGCGGCTTCACTCGGCGGAATCTCCTCAAGAGTGCTCCGAGCCAGGATGCAGTGACGGAGGTTGCTGTCTACACGATGCGGTTTTTGGGAGGCATGAATGCGGGCTGGATGTTGCTGTTTCTACTGAAGCTGCTGGGCAAGCAGGGCCTGGGTGAAGGAGCCGCGGTTCAGTACCTGGCAGCAGCCCTCGCGCACTTCTCGCAGTGGCTCTTCAATGTGCGCCTGGCCACTGGTACGGCGCCACGGCAGCTGCACGTCCGCTTCTCCAAGGAGATGCGCTTAATCTTCCTCACGGACTTAGCCATGGCGCTGCTGAACCTGTGCCAGGGTTTCGCTTCCAACAGAGGCCGTGACGAAAAGGCAGATCACGCAGCGGGGCGGTGAAGACCTCTTCACAGATAGCTAAAGGGCTTCTCTCTGGGAGATGTGTTCTGAGCTCGAGATCAGTGCCCTCGAGGAAGCTGTCGATCTCCGCGTTGATCCGGAACTTGACCCCGAGCCTGGACCCAGGTGCTAGGTGTCTCTTGGGGGGGCTCGCTGCAAGCTACAGGAAAAGGAGCCGTTCTGGACACCCTTCCATAGTCTACAGCCCTGAGTGCGGTCGTCTGCAAGCTCTCCGCTAGTTTCCTGAGTGCGACAATCCAACCGCGATGAGCCCGACAGCCCTAAAAACCAGCAACGCCTGAAACCCGACACCCTAAACTGGCCAAACCCCTATGAATATTTGGCCCGCGAACTCAGAAGCAACGCTTTCCGAATTCCCAAAGCATCCAACGCCTGCTTCCAGAGCGACTCTGCGAAGCTGGAGTCTCCAGAGGGCAAGGAGATGCTGCTCGGGGAGGTCTCCCGAGTGCAGCTGAGGGGGTTTCGGTCTTCAGGACTTGAACCTTGTGGGCCCCTTGGGTTTCGAGGGCTGGTTTGGTTCGGGCTGATTGGCGTGGGGTGGGTCCGACACCTCCGCAGTACTCATACCTGTCACTCTCACGGGAGCTCACCAACTCGTTCAGCTCTGCACTTTCAATCCCGAAAACACCTCAACCCTCAGAGACCCGCCCGAAACCTGCAATTCGTGGCCGAGACCAGCTGGCTCAAATCAGTGCAGCCCTGAAAAGGCCCGAGACTGCAGCAAAAACCCATCAAATGTCAGGCCCCTGAATCTGGAACATCCCTCTGAGAAGCACTCCCGACAGTCACCCGCTCCAAGCTGAGGTCAGCTCCAGTGGCCAGGATGTGGAGTTGCGACTCCCGCCAAACAGCCGCATCCCGGAGGGTGGCCAGAGCCCGATTGAAAGTTTAGAGTTTAGGGGGTTTCGCTCGGCTTGGAGACCTTGGCCTTACCGTTCAGCTCTTGAAGTATGGTAGCTGCTTGTAGGAAGATTGGGAGAAAGATGCACGCAAGAGTTAAACATGCAAACGAATATACCTTTACTCAGGTCTTAGCCTATGGTAGCATGATGACCGAAGCTCTGATCCCTCAGCAGGTGCCACGCACCTGTTAGTCTTCTCCCGCAATGCCTACGGTGAGCGAGGGGCTCAGGGTCTGGAGCTGCACACGGAAACGACATGAGACCCTGAGAATCGCCTGAAGTCTTCACTACTTCCTCCGATGCGAGATGCCTGCAGGATACCGAAAACATCCTTCCTCGTTTGACCACGGCATGTCATCAGACAATCGTTACAATTCCAACCTGACATGCGGGGCAGATCCCAATCCTAACCATTGCACTTTCCTTCACCGGCCCATGCGGCCCGGCCCTAATCCGTTGCCGTTAAAGCCCTCAGAGTCGGTAGAAAATCATTTTCATTCCTGATGGCCACGAGATGGTCACCAGTTCGGGTCGATACGTTGCCTGTCGATTTTCAACAACGTGGCCGTATGTATCATTTCCATGAGTTGTCGTTGTCTTACATGCAAGAATCCAGTGTTTCTGCAGTCATTGTTGCTGATGTGTCTGGAAGGGAAGTCAGTATCGCTTTCAACGCACTGCTCGCACCAGGTTGTTATTGCGGAGATTTGCGGAGTTCGTTTCCATGGTTTAGCTAGTTAGTTGGTGTCCCCACTAAACATCGAGCCTATGAGTTAGGCTCCAGTGTGAAAGTCCCAGGTACTCTAGCCCGGGCTCCCTTCTGCTCCGCGACGCTGCTTTGCCGAAGGCAAGAGTTGGTATCATTATGGTCACAACCGTCGCAACAGCAATGACAATAATGCTGCAGAGTCACTCAGTAGTTTCTCAACCCTTTTGAACGAGTCCTCGTGTTACAACCTGGACCGCAAAAACTCCGAGACACCACACGTGCTCCTTGCAGGCGAAGCCGGGAGGCCTCAGCTTCGAGGATGAGGATGGTGGTAAAGACATGGCCACAGCCCGAAGTATTCTTGCACTAGGGTTAAGCACGTTGTCGGAATTCCTGCATGCAGAGGTTGTGTTTTTGTGACTGCACGTATATGTGTTTCAAAAAGCAATCCGGGCTCGTCGTTTGTGGGCGGGTGATGGCGCATGCACACAAACGTTTGTTGCAGAACCACAGAAACTTTGGATGCTTGTTTCGCTGGTGGTGCTGCCGGTGCTGCAAGGAAACCGTGGTCAAGGTTCTGCTCACATTGCGGGTGTCTGATTGTGGTCGCAAAATCGCACACAGTCGCATGTTCAGCAAGGAATCGTGGTTGCTCTTCCGCTTGCAGTGCACCTGCGTGTGTGATTGCAAAAAGCATCGAAGCCTGGAAACCCTGATCGCAGTTCCGCTTGCGGCTTTTATGTGTGCGCCACTGCACACACATCATCATTCAAGAAGCCGTGAATCTGTGTTCACGCATACGCGTTCGCTCGTATGGTGCATTGCAGCGTGTCCGTGCGTGTGTGTTGCGGAAGTAACGGAACTTGTGATGACGGTGAAAAACATCCAGTAATTGCACAAAGCGTCCTCATGGTTGTTAAGCACATGACAAGACACACAGAAATTTTGACAGGAACGACGGCTGTGGTCACAGGGGGCTTAAAACCTGCCCAGTGCCTCAAGTTCTCGAACCATCTGCAAGATCGTTTGGCAGTGCTAAGGTGCGTGGGCGGATCACCATCAACAAAGCTGAGAACGAGGAGAAGGTTGGCCTGCCTCCAATGTTTGTTGAGAATGGGGGATCGTGTTTGCAACGGCAAGAGCAACAACAGTTTGATACAGCTTGCTTGTCCATTACTGCAGCGCTTTTTGCTCTTAATTGTCAGGCTGCTCTGCTGCTGCTGCTGCTGCTGCTGCTCCTACTACTGCCGCCACCACTAACACCACTACCACTACCACTGCCACAAGGACGACAGCTTTTGCACTGCCACACAGCTGCTGCTAGCAACCACCAACATACATCGTCAGCACTTGCCAGAGTCTCATACTTGCCGACATCGTAGTCTTCGCCAGAGCGGTGGTCGGATTAGGAGCAGTGGCGGCAGAAATACCCAAGCCATGATGCCCCGAACCCCGAAGCTTAGAGACAAGCAGTTGTCTTGGCAGATCTCCGAGTACTCGCTTCATTGGGGTCGCTCGCCCACTAGGCGCCGGACTGAGCAAGATGACGATGTTGGAGCTTTTGATGCTTTAGTTGACCATGTATGGGTTTTAGCATGTGCAGGCTGGTTATCAGGTCGTAGGTTCTTGGAGCTCATGGTTGTGAGCTTGGCGATTTCTTTTTGCATGGTTTTGGCCAGGGATCAAAACTTCTGGCTGCACTTGTAAGAGAACGTTTGCAACTGCTGCAACTACAACTGCAACTCCAACTGCAACTCGAGCGGCAACTGCAACTACTGCCACGATTTCTACTCGTGTAGCAAGTACAAGAACAACTGCTGTTGCTGCTGCTGCCGATGTTATCATCACTACCACTGCCACTACGAGATACTGCTGCTGCAGCTGCACCCTCTTCACCAAAGGAAGACAGCCCAGAACTCCTTCATCAGCGATGTGCGGAAGGAGGCGCGATCATCTGAGCTAGGCACAGGCACAACATGGCGCAACACATCTGCGGCCCAAGGCTGGCAACACCGTGACCAGCAAAAGATGATAGCCTGAAGCACAAACTCAAATCCCGAAGCTTGAAGGCGTCTGCAAGGGGTACAAAACGCGGTGTGCGTTGGGTGTCGGATGTCCCTTCCTGTGGCTACCATTCCAAGCCCAAACGGTGCACACTGTCAACACATCAATGCAATGTAAAACCACCATGCAGGAGGGAAAAGACGTTTCTCACTGGCTCTCTTCGCAGAAGTGCGGATTCCCAGTGTGCCATCTGGAATCACTGCTCATGTTTAGCCATGAGCAACCCGGCATGGAAGCTCTGAAGTATCCAATCCTTGTCTGATCTGCCGCGGGTACTCAGTGTTGAGGCTTTTGAAGCCAATTGACAGCTTTTGCAAAACTTTGGGAGTATAAACCTAAGTCATTGACGCAGGGCACGTTACGAACGACCTTTGGGATAGCCATAGCGCTTAGACAATTCCAAGAGTGCGAAGAGCTGCGGCTTGAGTTGACTTGGAGATCGGGGAAGTGAAACCACCAAAACTTCACCGAAACCAAGCAGGTAGGTACATAGATCCGCAAGAAGATAAGCAGGAACACATAGAAACAGCTGTATCTATATCCATATCTACGTCTACATCTATGTCTATGTCTACATCTAGATCTACATCTATTTTTGGATGGATGATGGATGCATGGATGGATGGAGGATGCATGGATGCATGGAGGATGCATGGATGGATGGTTTGGGTGGATGCGATGGATGGATGGATGGATGGATGGATGGATGGGTGGGTGGGTGGGTGGGTGGGTGGGTGGATGGCTGGGTGGGTGGATGGCTGGATGGCTGGATGGATGGATGTATGGATGGATGGATGGATGCCTGGATGGATGCCTGGAGAGTGGATGTGTGGATGGATGGATGGATGGATGGATGGATGGATGGATGCATGGATGGATGGTCGTATGTACATGCGTATGTATGCTTGCCTGTATGTGTCCGCAAAAACGAAGTTTCGGTCCTTGTGCGAGTCTGCTCGGGCATGTTGGGGCCTTGCCGGGCCCTCTGCCCCTGATCTTCCTCGGCTGAGCGCTTTGGAGCCCAGCGGGTAGGGGCAGTTTGGGCCTGCGAGGGTGCGTTTGTTCTTTCGTCTCACTGTCCGACTGCCAGACTTGAAGCCATGCGCGAAGGTTTTGTTATGTATTTGTGCATTTTTCTTGCTCTGATTCTAGAGCTGCGTCATGCAGGTGGGCGTCTGTGTTTGGTCGTGTCTCTGCCCTGTCAAGAGTGTTGGTTTAGCGACCTGATGGCGCTAAACCGAAGAGTCGCCGAGCCCGAAGCAACCTGGGCCCAAGCGTATTCTTTGGGTCCTCGACTTCGAAGCGCGACACCCTGCGACACCCGAAGCTGCCAAGTTTTCCCGAGGCCTCCGGAGGGTGCGACCCACCTCCTGGCCTTCTCGAAGCAGCCTGGCCAGAAGTCTTAAGATTAATGAATATGGTTCACCGTGCTATTGCCAGTCTTTGCCAGATGTCATTGTGTGTTGCTGTTACAGTAGCATAGATGCTCTTTGCGCAAGTTTCTGACCGTTGCTAGGGCTGTTGTATCTATTCAACTGCTATTGTCTTGATGATTTTGCTTCTTGCTACTGAAAGTGTACACCCATAACATCGTGGCAGCATCCGGTTTTTTGGGCATGGAGAACCAGACTTTGGAGGATAAGAGGTTCCTCGTTGGAGGAGAGTAGTTTCTCTTTTCAAGAGTGTGTGTGTGTGTGTGTAGCAGCGCAGCCGTTGGAGGACACTTCGCCAAGAACTCTAAAGGCACTGTCCCCTTCATCTAGGCCAGTTGCAAACGGGTGGAGTCTGCCACTGGCTTGTGTGCGTGGTGGTCAGGGTCTGCATGTTTCGGTCTAGGGGGGTGTAGCACACCTCCAACCCTTCTGACCCTTCTGCTTGTACTTCGCGGTCTCAGACGCTTCAGGTTTTGACGATGTTTTCTTGAGCACTTCCACAGCGCAAGAAGCCTCGCAGATGCGAAGGAACGAGTTCGGAGAGCACCCGTCACCCGTCAATGTGCAGGCGACGCCGCGAGGGGGTTTGACATCTCGAGATTTAGTATGGTTCAGATGTTGGGCATGGTTCTGTGCACCAAATCCCAAATCCTCACACTGGACTTCACGGGAGCCTTAAAGCTTAAAGTTTTTAGACCCGCACGATTTATGAGCTCGTGTTTGAAGCTTGAGGGTTGTGCGTATTCCTACAAATCGTGAAGGGTTTCAAGCTGCGGAGTTTGCTGAAACACGAATCGGGACATCCCACCCCTTGAGCCATGAATCCAACGCCCTGAACCCTAAGCCCAGGAAACGCATGACTGCAGCTTCTTTCAGGTCGTGGATCGGACGAAGCCTTGCGTGTCCAAGGAGGAAGATTCCTGTCCGCAGAAGGCCGGGATGATCCGGGCTGCAACCGGCATGTTGCTTTCCTGCTGCTTCTTTTCCTGCTTATTGCTCTTGTTCTTCTTCTTGTTGCGGGTGGGGTTTTGTGGTGGGTGCGGAGCGGTGGACGTGGTTGTGATTCGCTCTGGTCGCAGGTCACCGTAAGTCGTTCTCTTTTTTCATTGTCGGTACTGGTGGGTGTTACCTCGACTACATGCATGAGTGCGTGTCTCTTCCTGTATGCGAGCGGCTATGCTGACTCCACCGCAATCAGGCACTAGGAACGAGACCCTGGCGCCCCTGCCTGTTGCAGGTTGTATCAACAGCAGACGAGAATCCAGAGCCGAAGAACGTGAAGGCCGGCTCAGATTTTTGCAGTATGACGATGATATAACCAGCCCATGGCTCCCAGTTAAGGCCCAAACACCGCTGGGCTGACAGGCCAAAGTGACCATCACGCCTGCAAAAAACGAGGAGAAGATTGACAAGTACAGGCACGTGCTGGTTTGAGTTTCAATTACATAGGTCCATGCCTGAGTGTGGTTGGAATCCCTTCCTCGGTGTTCGAGCCTGATCCCAACGCGTCTGCAAAGCCCAGCAATTCCCAATCATTCTGCCACGCTTCGGGTTCACATGGGAGCCCGAACCAGGTGGGGCACGAAGTGATAACGCTACTCTCCTTGATTTGATATTGCTGACAGAAGCAGGGTAACGAATTGCTCGGCCTGCCGTGTTAGGCGCTGGCTCTCCGGCCTGAAGCCCTCTTCACCGCAAGCTTTAAATCCTGATCTTTTTTCAGTAATTTGGCACTACTCCAGAACTTCCGTCCTGAAACGTCGACCCTGACGCCTCAGGCTGTTCTGGGGCAAGCATGCCTGTGGTGAGAAGGAGCAAGACGCTCAGGCCAAGAACGGTTACCTCAAGGCCCTGCGTTTTGGAGTTGAGGGGTAGTTGAGTTGTTGAGCGTTGAGGAATAGTTGTTCACTGTTGAACAAATCCAACAGCCGCCTTGCCAGGACGTCCGTAAGGACGAGTCCCTCGAGGCACCCGTGAAGGGAGGGACGACGACTTCGGATTCAGGGTTTGGGGTGGGCGGGGAATTGAGATTAATGGGCTGAGCAGCTCAACTGGCAGCCAAGTCTCAAACAAAGCACTAGTCCGCGCGTTTGACACGTTCGGCTGTTGATTTGCAGATTCTTCTTGGGCATCATAGCAGCCGTACACGGATCTGCAGGTAGAACCAGAACTGACTGTCCCGCAATGCAATCTGCAGCTCGTGCAATAGGCGGCTTGCTGAATATTCAGACTTGGGGTAAGCATGAGCCCACCTGGCCCACAGACGCAGTTGCACAGCCCAGAAATCTCGTCAGACAAGTCCGGGAGTAAATGTCTCAGATTCAGGTGCAATTGTAGCCTACAGCGAGAAACACCCCAAACCCGATATATTTCTGCAAACATCACGACCAACCGGATCCCAACGTGAGATGCGGGCTTCTTCTTCTTCTTTTTGGATTCTGGTGCTTTCGGTCATGTGCTTGCGAGGAGATCCCATGAACCCAACAGGTGGAGCTGTCAACGGGAATCCTCGTGCCTGATGGCACAACCCACATCCTGGCGCGGAGCCCCTGCTGCGACGGCCATCTCCCGGCTATGTGTAGGCCTATCGAATGGTTTGTTTTCAAAAACTCTTTAAGTCTAAGTTCCTCAGAGCGCAGGTGCCACCTTAATCTCGGAAAGTTGGCGAACAAGCTCAAGGCCAAGCCTGAACTCTATCACGCAGCCCAGGCGTTTTCCAATGCGCCGACCCTCGGCGAGTCCGATTTTTGCGTGTCGACACCCTTCCAGGATCCTGCGGGGATGTTGGATGAGGATGTCAACCCGAAATCCTGCAATGGGGGATGGACTGCGAAAGCTCGACATGGATGTTCCGCCCCAGAGGCCAAGCTCTAGCCCCGAAGCACCAAACACTTAATGAACAAGCTTGAACTTTGCACACGCAGACCGAAAGGCCCTACATGCTAGAGATCCAAAATTCACCATGGTAGTGGTGTCCCGAAGTTGTCACTTGCTTCCGAGCTGACAGGACGACAAGTCGGCAGAGAAGAAAGAGCTCTAAAGGCTTGGTTTCAACGGAGCGTTGCTTTGGTGGTTCTGGGGTTTTAGCGGGTTTGCGGTGATCACACGGGGTGCCTTTAAGAGATGTTGGCCCAACATTCTTTTCATTCCCGCTGTAGGGCGGTCCTCAAGAGATGTCGGGATTTGGTTTGGGAGAGTTTCGGCATTGCGGAAGCTCGGGCTTGCAATGTTCAAGCGCTCTGTAGTTCCAGCAGCCCAGGGCTAGCCATAGGAATATTGAATCCTTCTTCATTCAAGCCGTTGGGAAAGTAGGACGCCTGATATATTGAACCCGGGCTTTCTGAAACGGCAAACCCCCGAAAACCGGCCGACCTGCAGCCTTAGTGCAGGGGTTGGCGGCTCCGTGGTTGTCTCATGCGAGTGCCTGGCAGGCGTTTGCCTACCTAAACCGGTCCAAGCCGGTTCGAGCTCTGAGCGGATCTAGGTGTAGGACCCATCCCCAACCTTCAGCTTTAAAACCCGAAATTCACAACCGCTAACTTCCTAAAATCCCAGCTGGCCAAGCAGGATTGGCGAAAGTACTGACAACCAAAAACA